GTTGAAAGCAGCTATCAAATCCCCCCTCATTCTTCCCTTCTGCAGACTAAACAATCCCAGTTCCCTCAGCCTCTCCTCATAAATCCTGTGTTCCAGCCCCCTAATCATTTTTGTTGCCCTCCACTGGACTCTTTCCAATTTTTCCACATCCTTCTTGTAGTGGGGGGCCCAAAACTGGACTCAGTACTCCAGAGGAGGCCTCACCAATGTCGAATAAAGGGGAATGATCACGTCCCTCGATCTGCTGGCAATGCCCCTACTTATACAGCCCAAAATGCCGTTAGCCTTCTTGGCAACAAGGGCACACTGTTGACTCATATCCAGCTTCTCGTCCACTGTAACCCCTAGGTTCTTTTCTGCAGAACTGCTGCCTAGCCACTCGGTCCCTAGTCTGTAGTAGTGCATCCCCTCATCCACAGACCCAGTTATCTCCTCACAGAAGGCAATGAGGTTAGTCAGACATGACTTGCCCCTGGTGAATCCATGCTGACTGTTCCTGATCACTTTCCTCTCCTCTAAGTGCTTCAGAATTGATTCCTTGAGGACCTGCTCCATGATTTTTCCAGGGACTGAGGTGAGGCTTGTTTCAGGGAATGATGGTTAATTTGCCTAGACTTTAAGCATTTGCTCAATGGACAGTAACTTACCCCTTGTGGCAGAGAGCTGTTATTTATCTGTATTGTTGTAGTTAGAAGCCCCGGCCATGGACTAGGTCCCCACTGTGCTAGGAGCTGTACATACACCCTTTGCGCCGTTGCCTAACACTCTTCTTTTATCTCATCTAGAGTGATGTTCCTCAGCTGCCAGCCTCAGGCAAGAGAGGCCTAAATTCGCTTTCAAATATTTTTTTCTGAAAAAGGAGCAAAGCACCCTGGTGGCCAGGCAACACCCACCGTCAAAGCGCCTCTGAGTGATCTCATGGCAGGGAGGACAAGCCTGGCTTGCCTCAGTGCCAATCCCCTGCTGGCCAAGCAGAAACAAAGTAAACTGGTGCTTGGGGCGAAGAGCTTTTCCTTGAAGTCTGGGAGTTACAGATCTCCAGAGTTCTCTGTTCTCTGTAAATTCACCACCCTTCATTCTCTCGCTCTCTCACACACACATACGTCTACACTTGAAATTTAATTTGGATTAAGGTCGGGTGTAAATTTAAAGCACAATAGTTATTCCAGACTAGCTAGTCCAGAGTAAATCCATGTGTAGACAAGCCCTTAGGTACTTCTATGGCCCCTGTTACCATACAACTGTGTTGTATAAATCATGGGGCTGATTCTGATCTCCCGCTGATTCCACAGTGGGGTAACGCCAGTGATTTCATTAGCTTTATGCCCGCTGGAGGGCGCGATCCAAAGAACTTCAGCCACGCTTGAACTTTAAGCACATATGTAGCCCCATTGAAGTCAGTGGAACAACCCACAACCTTCAAGTTAAGCACTTGGTCAAGTGCTTGTCGGATTACTCCCTTGCGCTGGTGTAAGATCAGAATCAGGCCCATGTTATTTTTTTCAAATGGGTCCCTTGGGGAGGGAGGAGCTGCATCTTGGGAACCCCTTGCCCAACGGACCCCAAATTTTCACCATTCACACTAGCCCTGCCCCCCACGTAGCACGCCAGTTTTCAAGGCAATCGGCCTAGGCATGTGGCTTTTGGAGCACTTAAGGGAAAAATAATTGGCCATATACAGAAACTCTGCTGCAGCCTTTACAATGGAGTTTCTAAGCAAAGCTGTCCCTTCGCCAGCCAGGACCCACCTCTCTCGTTATGTTGGGAGTAACCTTGACGCCACCCGGATGCCAACCTTGTGATAATTGATGGAACGTCTCCCGCAAAGGAAGAGCATGCTCGTGAATATTCAGGCCGTCCTCCTCTAAAATCCCATTGGAAAAGGGACTTAATGACTTTTTTGGCACCTCTTCCAGCTTTTCTCTTCAAGTCAACCGCTCCCATTAGCCTCCTTGTGCACTGTGCGTGTTCCCCTCTGTTACGTGCCAGGGCTTCCTGTTCTTTTAGGAGGCCGGCTGATTGTTCCGGCCCCAGAAAAGGAAACCTGCTAATTGCAATGACAAGAAAAATCGTTTTGAGCTGGGAGGTGGGGGTGGTGTGGTGTTGGGAGGCGGAGAAACCCGGGCCGGAGTGATCAGAGCACTTGGCTAGGTGGGTCGGCTCAGACAGCCGCGGTAACGCCCAAGACAAAGAATGTTACCTGCCCGGATGTGACATTAGGAGGATGAAATGGAAACAGCTCTTCCAATAGTGCCAACCTCTGGCGTTCAAAGATGAAGAGTCAGGCCCTCCTGAGCCTGGGCACAGCTCTGCAGGTGGCGTCGCCCGTCTGCCAGTGTCGCTTGCTTCACTTGGGGGTGGGGTGGAATGAACAATACCGGTGAAGTGCTCCTAGCCTGGCAAGGTGTCCCTCAGCAATGTCTGTCTGTCCCTGTGCCTCACCCTGCACCTGCTTCTACCTTCCATCAAGAGGAGCTGAGGCAAATGAAATAGAGAAGGAAGGATTGTTCCGGGGGGGGAGGCAGCAAAGGGGTAGAAGTAAAGGGGGGGGGAACAGAGGAGGGGCAAGAATAGGAGTGAAGGGCAGGCAGGGAAAGGAGAGAGGGACTCTCCCAAATATGGGGGGTTTCTGGACTCAGGGCGAGGGCCCATCTCTCGGCAGGGGGTAATTAAACGAGGCCTGCTTGGCAGGAATTAGGGGGGTTGTCTCAGGGTGGAATCCTGGCCTATGTCCCGAGCACAGAGAGCAGCAGACAAACCCAGGGTGCTGTGTGCACAGGCTGGGGACAGAAAGTCCTGCGGAGCCAAGCTGTTCACTGAACAGTCAGATCATGGTTCCTGGGGATTTCAGGGCTCGTACTCCCTGGACAATGATTCGTGGTTGAGGAAGAAGCTTGAGAACCCGGCCCCCTCAAGGATCAAAATCCAGATGGCAAATTGGAAGAACCCCAGTTTAAAAGAGAGAGAGAGAGAGAAATCCCCATAATTTTTAAGGCAGTCTCATGATTTCAAGGGGGGGGGGGGAAATTTGTGAATTCTTTCACCTCTCGGGTTTAACAGCACTGCATGCAGGGCTGGGACAGTCTCTCACTTGGTGTCTGTGCCACACCCAGCGTGATGGGGCCCTGAACTTGGCTGCATCCTCTATACAGATAGAAATAAATTATAGTCACGCGTAAGAGGAGGCCTCGAAAACACAGACTCTCCTTTATTATTTGTAATTATTTTATTATTTGTAAACCTCTTTATTATTATGGTATTATGGTAGGGCTTCGGAACCCTAGTATAGACCAGGACCCCACTGTGCTGGGTGTTGTACATTAGGTGGATTACGGTAGCATCTAGGAGCCCGAGCCATGGACCAGGATCCCATGGTGTTAGGTGCTGTACGTTCTCTATTAGGTGTATTATGTAGCGCCCAGGCGCCCCGGTGACGGACCAGGCCGTACAAACCCAGTCCCTGCCCGCTAAGCTCTGCGAGCTGTGGATGAAACGCACAACGCGAGAACCAAGCTTTCATTATTAATGACTATTTACTAATGACTGAAGGTTCGCTCATCAGCTCCTTGCGAAATTCAGCAAATTGCCACTTCGAGGATTTGAAAGCAGGCCAGTGGGGGTGTGTGTGCGTGCGTGTGTGTGTGAGGGGGGAATCAAAGCAAACTCTGTGGCTAGACTCTCTGCTATTACATTGATCAAACCCTGACATCTCCTGCCCATTAAAAGCAGCTCCCTTTGCCGGCAGAAAGCACGGGGGCAGCTGCACGGCCCGATAAAAGAAAAGCCCATTCGCTTCGGGCTGCTCAGCAGCGGGGATTCGATCGCACCCCCCGTTGGGCCATTTGTTAAGGAAAGATCCAGCAAACGGAGGTCCGGGGACTCCAGTTTATGCCCTGCCACAGCTGTGCCGGGGGACAGCAGCCCCTTTGGATTTCCATTTTCAAGTCCCTCAGACACACCAGGGAGCGGAGAAACAACCTTGGCTGAGCAGGAGTTGGCTGCTCCGCTCCATCCCGTCCCCAGGGTGATATACACCTGCTTGGACTCACGCCTGTGTCCTGCTCTGGAAGGCACCTGCTCTCCCTCCTGTGATCAGTGACAAACGGCAGGGAGCGATCCTAGGGACGAGCAGGGGGCTGGAGGGGACAGTTTCCAAGAGGGGTTGAACCTTTTGGGCTTGAAAGAGCAGTGACGGGGAGCGGGAAGAGTCTATGGCTATTTGAGGGTATAAGCATCAAGCAGAGAGAACAATAAAGAGGCTGGAACTAGGAGGAATGGGATGAAGTTAACAAGCCACTGGCAAATCTGTGGCATCTCCCAGCGCCTGCCCTTCCAACCCAACTGCCTTTTGCCACTGACTCCCCTTTCCGCAGCGTTCCCTCTGCTCTGCGCCACCCCGATCCTGCAAGCTGCTCCACCCAGGCCTGGACAGGGTCCCGTTGGCCTCAGCAGGGCTCAGCACAGGCACACGATCTTGGCCTCTCTGCTGAGAAGTGGATTGTCGGGCAGATTGCTGTGGTGGGGACACTTATTTGCTAGAGGAACTAGGCTGAGACCCACCAAAACTCATCTCAGAGGCCAGCGAAGGAACCAGTCCCTGTCGCTGAGGTAACACAACGTGCCTGTGCAGCAGGGACAACACTGTGTCTGTGCTCTCAGGAACAACACCCCCCCGAAGCTTTGCCTAGGATTTGACACACACAGACAAGTCAATCTCAGACACACACTCAGATATCTGATTCACACACAGAGACACAAACACACACTTAGAAACACGCACAGACACAACACAGAAACCCGCCTATAGAGACACAACTCATACACATCCCGCTCTTGCATTTCCATAATCACTTTGACTTCAGCTTTGCCATTCCTGGCTAGTTTTGCATTTGCTTTATGACTCTTCATTCGCATGTGACTCGGTTCCATTTCGTCTCGACGCCGCCAGCCCAGTTGCCGACTCATAAAAAACGTTGCGTTCCAGCCACATCACCTGAGGCTGGCTATTTCAAACAATTTATTGGGCCCCATATAAAATTTAAAGAGCCCATATATCGTGCAGATTGCCGACAAAATGTAATTTAATCTTATGCCACACGCTGGTAGCATCCAGCCCAATCCATTTCTTTCCCGACACTGGACCGTATATAACTTGTGAGTTTCAATAATATTCAGGAGGGATTCTGAAGGGGAAAGTTAACAGGACTCATCTGCCTATGCACCTCCCCTGATTCAGATGCAGTCGTACAGCGCCTAGGGTCCCGGCCTGGCTGGCCTCCAGTCACCACCGCCATAGACATGCTCAGTAACAATGACCTCTTGGATGGAATATCCTGGGAGACTGAGCCAGCCACCTCGGGATTTACAAACAGGATTGGCTACTGTGTAAAAAGGATTGTGATGGGCCACTAGTGGATTCATCAGCCTCTCACCTAAATCAGCCCCTAGATCAGGGGTCGGCAACCTACGGCACACATGCCAAATTTGTTAGTCTCTAAGGTGCCACAAGGACTCCTCTAAGGGGCATGGATCAGTGCCAGGTGTTAGCCAACGCTCGCCTGCTATGGTAGCTTTAGGAATGTATCTCTAAGGCACGTAAGACAGAGGGATGCCAGGGCTGGACATCTCCATTTATATACCATTCATTGTGTTCTCATTTCAGCTAACCTCTCCCTGATTTCTGCACCCACATGCCCAAGTCCTCCTCCAGTCTCTCCCCAAAGAGATTCTCTAATCCCTCATCTAACAGATTCCCTAATTATTAGCCCCTCCCCAATTGCCAGGAGATCCTTCAAAGGACCCTTATTCTCTGCTTGCTCAGCCGTCAGCAGTAGATGCCTCACCGGGGGTGATTCCTAATCCCCAGATCCTTGCCCTCTCCCATAGTAAATCCCTGGTCCCCCTCCCTCAATGGCTCCTCAACAATTGATCCAGTAGATCTCCAGCACGTCCTGGCTAAATTCCAACATGGGTGAGGACATTCTGCCCCCCTTACATTCCACCTGCGCTTTCCCTGGGCTACAGCGGCCTACGTTTTCACCAAGGCCTAGTGATTTTAGGGGATACCTTGAAGGAGTCAGATTTTCAGAAAGGGCCATGCGCCCACCCTCA